TCTAATGGTGTTTGTAAATAGGATATCAAGTCCGCATCTTGTACAGCAATTAACCACTAGGAAGAATGTATGCAATGTGTTAATTATTGAAACTGCCCTACTGATTTGGTTTGAAACTGTCTCATTGCTATTTGTTTCTCAATAAAATTATGGAAAAAAACAAACAAACAAAATATGGTGAATGTTTCAGTTTAATAAGTGATTACAGGGATGGGGTGATAGCTTGGCTGTGTTCGTGCCTGTCTGGCAAGTGCAAGGACCCTGGTTCGAGCTCCAGCACCGCACACCATGCTGGGCCCAAAACCAGGCATGATGGTGCACTCCTGTAATCCCTGCTCTGGGGAGGCTGAGACAGGAGGATCACTATGAGTCTCAGCTGCACAGTGAGACCCTGTATTGAATAAATAAATAATAAAAAAATGATTACAGTGAAAGGCACATTGCCATGACTGTCACTCAGAATACTCCCCCTTGCATGCAGCACACGTAGACCTGTCATTCTTCTGACTTTCTGAAGCAGGCATGGAAGTCTTGTTTTGTGAGTGTAAGTTGTGTGGCCTTGATGTCCTCAATCGAGGAAAACACACTTCCCTTTCGTGGTCACACTGGTGGGGGGGGCAGAGGTCTCAGCACAGAAGGTGGGTGCAAATACACTATTTATTTGATAGAAATTGTCATATACGTTTTAAATCAACTCAGGATATCAAGGAAGCCGTGAAAAGACACTCACGCAAGAGGAATTGGAGAACTGCTTCTGAAACTGGCTAAAATGGGTGGGCAAAGTTCAGGGAAGGGTTCTTTTTTCTGGGGTGACGGCATTAATGGCATTACGCCTTCCTGTAATATAGTTTTAAGCATTCACTGTATGTTTGCTCGCCAGTGATATATTAATTCACTGTCTTGGTTCCTTTTCTCTCATTGCTGAGACAAAATACTCTACATCCAAAGCGAAACAGGGAAAGGTTTAGTTAGGCCACAGTTTGTGGAGGTTTCAGTCCACAATTGGCTGGCTCCAAGGCAGGGTGGCACGTGGCAGAGGGCAGCAGTTCATGGTGGCAGAAGACAGCAAAAGAAATAAGAGCAACAGGGCTGGGGAGATGGCTCAGTAGAATAAGCGCTTGCCTGGCAAGCACAAGGATCTGAGTTCAATCCCCAGTTCCATCAAACATAAATAAATAAGAGCAACAAGGGGAAGGTTTCCCCTTCTTTGCCTCCCTATACTGTGTGCGGGCCACCTGCCTGAGGGTGGGCCTTGGGTGTAGCACTCACCCCCCATCCCAGCACTAGACCCTAAGTGAATCATGAACTCTAGATTTAGCTGTTTTCAAAAGCCCAACCCCCATGACCGCATGAGGCTTTGGGGGGACATCCAGACACAAACCATAATCTCCCAGCCCTGGCCCCCCAAAGACTCACGCACATCCCTTTATGCAAAAGTGATTTAGTTCATTTCTAAGAACTGCCAGGGTCTTAACAATTGCAGGATGCTGAAGAGTCCAAGGCCCAAGCCTACTCCAAAATGTAAGGCAAACTTAGCCAAGAGCCCTTGTACAAGTAAAAAGAAAGTTAAAACACCTCCCAAATTCGGTGGCACAAGATAAGTATTTCCATTTCAAAATCTACAAATGGGGATACAAAGCAATGGAAGCAAAAACTACATTAAGCCCTGTAGTTCCATGAGGAACATCTGAAGGGATTTGTGAAAGTTGTGAGCTCCAGAGGGCTTGGGGGGCCCCACCGCTGTGGCACTTCTGGTGGCAGTAGCTCCTAGGGCTTCTCTCTCAGGCCTGCTTTGCTCCCTCTTTGCAGCTGTCCATATAAGATCCATGTTTCTGGCTTTTACAAACTTGTGGGGTCTCTGCTGCATCTTTGGCTTGGTACTCACAGCTTCACACGCTGCCCTCTCAGAGCACACTGCCTGGCCTTCTGGGCCTTCTAGAATCAGGGCGGAAGGCTTCACAGCCCACAACGCTTACACTCTGCATGCATGCACCCAGAGCCCGCGCCGCAGGGACAGTGCTGAAGTCTGCTGTCAGCTGGGGCAGTAGCCAGGCTTCACCCTCTCTCAGCTGCAAGGGTTGAGCTCCTGGATGACTGAGCTCTGAGGAACCAGTTCTCCACACTGCCGCCATTCGAGAACAGGCGCTGTGCCACTTTCTCCTCAAAGTGAAGTTTTTCACTTGTGCAGTTTTGAGGTTGCAAAGGGGTAGAGACTCGCTGCTTCTTGTGATGCCCTCAGGCCGTCATTTATAGCCCTGTTTCCTTCTCAACAATCCAGATCTCCTCTGTTGTTGTTTGTTTGTTTTTTCTTTCTGTATTTTAGGAGAGGGCCTAAAGGGTGTCCAGGGTCTCACTATTAGATCAGACTCATAGTGATTCTCCTGTTTACAGCCTCCCAAGAGCTGGGATTACAGGCACGCACCATGCCCCGGGGGCGGGCCGGCATGGCAGGCCTGGGGATCAAACCCCTGCTTGCAGGTGCTTTAATCTGCTGAGCTATTTAGCCCACCCTTCTGCTCTGTTTTTGCAGTACACAGCTCCACAGGAGCTTCCTTTCTGGCCAGAGTCAC